TGAGAAACAAACTGAGGGTTCTAGAGGGGAGGGGGGGTGGGAGGATGGGTTAGCCTGATGATGGGTATTAAAGAGGGCACGTTCTGCATGGAGCACTGGGTGTTATGCACAAACAATGAATCATGGAACACTACATCAAAAACTAATAATGTAACGTATGGTGATTAACATAACAAAAATTTTTTAAAAAAATTTTTAAACAATGCAAAGATGGGGGGACAGAGAGAGAGAGATACAGCCTAAGAAATCCAAAATATATGTAACAGGAATTTCAAAGGAAAAGGGCTTAAAAATGACTAGAAATTAAGGAAACTAACCTAATAACAGAATTTTCGAAGAGTTGATTCCTTGGATGAAAAACCACCATAAAAGTAAAAATGATAACATAAATCACAAAATTAGGAATGAGGATAAAAACAGAACAGATACGGAAATGTTTTCTTTTATTGTAGTAATATATACAAATTCATACTAATGTAATAAGCAATATCTGGGAATATCTAAGCTACCAAATTGACAGAAGTAGAGAGTGAACAAAAAATCCCCTTCCAAAATAGATCCTGGGCCCACTTTTCACCAAAAAAAAGGACAGGGTAGATGTATCTTATACAATTATACAAGATATGCCTTCCTGAAAATCTAAAATTCAAAATTCATGTAACATAGCACCATTTTCTTTTGTTTTTAAGATTTATTTATTTGAGAGAGAGCGCGCGCGCGTGCGCTCAAGTGGGAAGAGGGAGAGAGAATTTCAAGCAGACTCCTGCTGAGCATGGAGCCTGATGGAGGGCTTGATCTCATGACCCTGAGATCATGACCTGAGTCTAAATCAAGAGTCTGACCCTTAACAGACCGACCCACCCAGGCACCCCACATAGCACCATTTTCAAAAATAATTGTAAGTATCCTATTTATCAGCTAAACCATAAATACAATTCACTTGGCCACCACCTTTTAAGTTACATGATTGTTAATCATTTTTCAAATTTAGGTTGATTCATATTACTATACATTTTATACATAAAGCAAGACTATTGATTTTTTTTTCTATAAACTGTTTATTTAGTGCAATTTCCAATGTGTGTAATTCAGATTCAGAATGGCTTTCGTGTATTTTCGAACGTCTAAGAAACAATCTCCGTAGAGATTGTTCAAGAGCACAGAAAAAGAGAGAATACCTCAAAAAAATATTTTATGAAACTATTATAATTCTGGTATCAAAACCTAACAGAGACAACTTAAAAGTGATACTTATTAATAGAGATACAAAAATCCTAGGTAAGTAAGAGCAACTCTAACTCATGATCTAGACTAGAAGTTCTCACAAACTTGCCGCCCACCAGAGTCAACAAATACTATTCATTTTCTCCACTCACAGTCTAAGGCACGGAGCCAGCTAAAAGCTGGTTTGCCACTAGAGCTCCCATGGAGGACCTGCCAGCTCACAAGAGTCACTGTGCTGGTTTCCAAACCCATTTATGCCAGCTGTACGAACACGGTAATTAGATCAATAAGCCAATATCACGAAAATATATACAAATTGAATTTAAAAAGGGCATCTAGAAAATGGATTCAATGATTTTTTTAACCGATGAAAATTAAGAAGGAGATTTTTAAGTTTTTATTCAAATTCCAGTTAGTGAACATACAGCATAATATTAGTTTCAGGTGAATCACAATACAGTGATTCAATAGGTGAATTCAAATAGATGATGGGGATTAAGGAGCGCACTTGTTTTGGGGCGCCTGGGTGGCTCAGTCGGTTAAGCGACTGCCTTTGGCTCAGGTCATGATCCTGGAGTCCCGGGATCGAGTCCCGCATCGGGCTCCCTGCTCGGCGGGGAGTCTGCTTCTCCCTCTGACCCTCCCCCCTCTCATGCTCTCTATCTCATTCTCTCTCTCTCAAATAAATAAATAAAATCTTAAAAAAAAAAAATCGGAACACGCTATTTCAAAACAAGCTAAAAGACATTTGAAGACGCCGTGCAAGAGATGAAAGAAGAGGGATGAGGGAGGGGAGGGGAGGTTAATATCTAACGGCTCCACAGTTTCTCTTTGGGGTGATGAAAAAGCTCTGGAGGGCGCCTGAGTTGAGTGGCTCAGTTGGTTGAGCGACTGCCTTCGGCTCAGGTCATGATCCTGGAGTCCCTGGATCGAGTCCTGCATCGGGCTCCCTGCTCAGCGGGGAGTCTGCTTCTCCCTCTGACCCTCCCCCCTCTCATGTACTCCCTCTCTCTCATTCTCTTTCTCTCAAATAAAAATAAATAAAATCTTAAAAAAAAAAAAAAAAGGAGCGCACTTGTTTTGAAGAGCACCGAGTGTTGTATGGAAATGTTGAATCATGAGTGAGATTTTTTTTTTTAAAGATTTTATTTATTTATTTGACAGAGAGAGACAGCGAGAGAGAGAACACCAGCAGGGGGAGGGGGAGAGGGAGAAGGCTTCCCACCGAGCAGGGAGCCCGAGGTGGGGCTCGATCCCAGGACCCTGGGATCATGACCTGAGCCGAAGGCAGTCGCTTAACCGACTGAGCCACCCAGGCACCCTGAGTGAGATTTTTTAAAGAAAGGGTATGGGAGGGAGGAATCGTAAATTTTTAAAAGGACTCCACAGTCTGATTTTTCTGCAGGTATCATTAAGATCTCATCAAACTTTAATAAACCTAAAGGAAAAATCATAGATAATTTTGGATGTGGCTTATACCAGAAGGATGACATGACACTCTAATAGCAGATCCAAATTTAAAGAGGCCTTGGCAACATCAAATAATTGGCAGAGGAAGATACATAGACAGGGTTAGAAATAAAATGTTTACAGTGTGTATGCATGGCTTTTAATCAGTCCCCATTCAATCAACGTTTTCAATTAGCCAACCAACTACCTGTCTGATTGCATTGGATAAGAGGACTTCAATTATAGTAAATTATAATACCATGACCAATTGACCAATTTGGATTTACCCCAGGAATGCAAGACAATTGTACATTGTATAAATAGAACAATAGAAAACAAAATAATCATCTTGAGAAATGCCAAATGGCAGTAGATAAAATTAAATTCCTATACCTTATTTTTAAGCTACTAATAAACTAATAATAAAGGACACAACCTTGACAAAATCAAGAATATCTATCTGAAACTACCAATAATTATCACAATTAATGGGAAAATGGTAGAAGCTTTTCATTAGAATCAGTAACTAAACATGTTTGCTCACTAGCAGCTCAATTATCAAATGTTATTCTGGAAAAAGGAATAAGGTATAATTATTAGAAAGATAGTGACATATATATTACTGTTTGAAGGAAACCATCTTACCTACCTGGAAAACCCAACAGAATCAATGAACAATTCTCAGAACTAATAAAGGAGCTTACTAAAGAGTCTGTTTCAAAGTAAATATACAAAATATTGTTTCCCTATATTCTAACAATAAACAATTAGACCAAATCACTAAAAAAAAAAAAAGATATTCCATGTAGATAGCAACAAAGGCTATAAAATGCCTAGGACTAAACATTAAATGGGCTGGACCTATTTAAGGTAAACAAAAATAACTCCTCTAAGAAACAAAATAAAAGACACTAGTGGAAATTAGTATCATTAATGTCCAATGATAGGGGAGTAGTTAAAACTTTATGGATGTTCATATAATGGAATGACATGCAACCATGTTTTTAAAGACTATAAAGATATGGAAAAACATCCACAATATACATTTAAATAAAGGAAAATACAGATTATAAAAAAGTACAATATGATTCCAATTTTGTTTTTAAACAAAAGGATGCACACAGCATAAAACATATCTAAAAATGTAAAGCACATCAAAATCTTAACAGTGTTTATCTCCAACTGGTAGGAATACAGGTGGGTTTTCACTTTCCGCTTTACCCTGTGTTGTGTTTTCTATATTTTCTACAATGGGTAAATCAGAAAAAATTAAAAATATACATTGCCTCTTCCTAGAAACCCATAAGACAGCAATGCCTCCCCCTGCACCATGAACAGAATGTAACTATTGGCAGGTGCTATCTCTTAGGGCTCCCCCAGCAGCTCAAGGGCTCTCAGCGTGGGACTTCACGAGGACGTGGTGAAGGCTAAACACCAAGTCATCTTCCCTGAGGGGCCCACTAAAGATAACACCAAGAAAATCAGCCCAGTTGCAGCCTGTGGGCCCCGGCAAACCTCTCAGAATCTGCTCAAGACTACCAAGGTTCCTCAGTCAACACACTTTTCATGCCTCTGGGAGGGACAGAGAAAATCAACCTGCCATTGCCCACAGAAGCTTCTTGGGTCCCACGTCCCAGCGGTCCAGATCTAATCTAGAGACTTCCCTGTTTCCACTGGCCCATGCAACCCCACCAACCCTCTTGGTCCTCATGCTGGTAAACAGGATTAAGGTAAATCCCAGGATTAGGTAAAACCCGCAAGATGCACTAAGAGGTAACTCAGTGTTGTCTATTTCTGAGAATCTTCCCCTAGCTGGCTCCCCACCCCTCCTCCAAGACACAGGACAGGTCACTGTTTTCTGCTGGATCTCAGGAAATACAGTTGATCCCAAACAACATGGGTTTGAGCAGCATGGGTCCACTAAGACACAGATTTTTCCAATAAATACAATAGTGTTGTAAATGTATTTTCTCTTCCTGATCATTTTCCTAACAGCATTTTCTTTTCTCTAGCTTATTTTATTGTAAGAATACAGTATGTAATACACAAAACATACAAAATATGTGTTTATTGACTATTTATGTTATCAGTAAGGCTTCCTGTCAACAGTAGGCTATTAGTAGTCAAGGTTTTAAGGAGTCATAAGTTATCTGTGAATTTACTATCGTGCGGGGGCTGGTGCCCCTAACCCCCATGTTCTAGGGTCAAATGTACTTCCTTTCTTCCCCTCCCACTCCCCTTCCTCCGTTCCCTTCCTTAACTCCCTACCCCCACCCCCAACCCCCCAGGGAAATCAAAGAGCCCACAAATAGGTAAACAATACATACATGAAGACTGGATGGAGAAGATGCCATGTTAGTGGGGGCAGGGCCCAACAGACCGTCTGCAAGCTACAAATTAAACACGCTGGTTAGCAACAGGACTAGAGAAACCACTTTAGGGAAGACTGGACAGCCCCGAGGAAGGAGAGCTCCAACCAGGGAGGCTGTAGAAGCTGTGGGAGGAACATGTGTTTTGGAGTTAGGTAAGACTGGTCTAAATCCTGGCCCCACTGCTTTATCAGCTGGCTGTGTGACCTTGGTCAAGCCCCCTGACCTCTCGGAGTCAGCATCCCCATCCAGGGAACAGGTACAAAGCCCGGTTCCCAGGGCAACAGTGAGTGTGGAGGAGATGAAGGCCATGCACAGCTAGCACGGCTGAGGCACGTGCAAGGGGCTCGGCCAGTGCTCCCTCTCGCCCGCTTTCTCACTGCCCTTGGCACCATTCACTCAATGCCATTCTCACATGCCCTCCCTACTCAGACCTCCCTGTCTCAGATGTACTCCAAGCTCCCCATCGTCCCTGGTGGTTTCTTCTAACAGCTGGGCCACACCAACCCCTGCTTGGGCATGGTTCCGAAGTCTGGTTTCTGAGCCTTTTCTCTTCAAAGACAAGAACCAGGGCATCCTACGGCTTCCCCCAAGCCTGTAAAAGGGGGGACTCTGAGAGTGCTATAGCCCAACACGCCTTTGCTATCCTAGAGAAAACTTCCTGCATCCTTCTCTGGCATCAGATCCTTGCCTGCCGTCTTCTGGTCCTGTGACTCAGTACTTTATAGGGTGAATCCCTGGGCTGCAGGGTCCAGAGAGCCTCAGGAGTCAGGACTGGAGACAGGTGACTTTTTCAGAGACCACTATAATGGTCCCAGAGAAGGTGACAGCGCTCTGGGTGGATGAGTACCTGTCTAGGCAGACAAAGCCAGGAGATGCATTCCAGGCAGAGGAGATAACAAGTGCAAAGGAGTAGAGGAATAAACTATGGCACAGCCGAGAAAGCAAATGGCTCGGGAAGGCAGGCACTGGGCAGCAAGCAAATAAGGCTGGAGGGCTGAGGACACTTGCCAGGACACAGACTCCCAGGGTTAGACCCTGTCTGCCTTTGAACCCCGAGCAGGGGGCTCTGAAAGACTCCACAGGTGGCTGTCCTCTCCTTGACAGGAAGAACCTGGGAGACACACTCACCCGGGGGTCAGAAAGGGCTCAGGAAGGGCAGGAGGCAGTCTGCTGGGACCCAGAGGGGAGTCTTGGAACCCACAGACCCATCCCTGCCCTGTGAAGGGGGAGTCACTGAGGAGATCCCAACCTCCCCCAGACCAGCCTTACGGCTGCTCAGAGCCAGAAGCGCAGGCAGTGGCCAGTGGGCAGCAGGCCAGGCCACTGGATGGTGCCGGGGGGGCTGTGGTGTGACCCCTGGCAGAGACTGGATGAACTCCACACAACCCCCGCGCCGGCCGCCTCTGCCCCTCCCACTCCCGTCCTGAACCTCACAGAAGCCTTCTTGTTATTTTGAATACAGTTTGTTTTTAGAAAGGTGAGAGGGAAACCGGCAGTTCACCAGAGCAAAAGGGAGAAAAAACAAAGCTAAACACAGCGCTCCAAAGATCTGGTCCGGCTTCAGAAATTACACGTTCCCCTTTGGGACTCGGGCATAATTTGCTGCTCCAGTTCTGGGAGCACGTTGCCACCTTCACGGCGTCCCAGAGACTAGAAGTGGGGCAGCGAGCTCCAAATGAGCCCCAGCCGGGGAGCCGGGGGGGCGGCCAGCCTCAGCACCCCACCCCACAGTGTAGGGAGCAGGCTTCACGCCCCCTGATGTCTTCTCCATGCCAGCCTGCATGTCCCCCAGTACCTGCCTACCTCATACACATGCACACATGCACACACACATACACACGCGCATGCACACCCCCTCACACACGCAGTCCCACTGCTAAGCCCATGCTCCCACTCCTTTGCCCACCAGGAAAACCCTCCTCTCCCCTCTGCTGTTCTGACCCCACCGGCCTTTGAGGCCAGCCAGCCTCTCCCCCGAAGCCTTCCTGATCACTTAGCCCATTCTGACCCACATGGGCCAACAGAGTCCATGATCTTTGTCCCTGGCAGATAAAGCATCTCATGTAAGATCAGCAACATCTCATGTAAGATCAGCAACATCTCTCCCAACCAGGGTGAAAATTTCCAGGTGTTCTCCTCTTTATCTCTCTTCACCATGCATATGGTCCCCAGCCCCAGCCCCAGAAATTCTCCTTCTCTGGAGACTTACAGGGGAGCCCCCCCCACTACCCAGGGTGGGCTCGCAGAATGATAGGCAAGAGTCACTCGTGACCGGGTGACTCCAGGGGCATCTCAGTGCCTGCACAGTGGGAGACGGGCGGGGTGGGCAGAGGCACTGCCTCTACTCTGAGCTTCTGGACCCTCAGTAGGAGATGAGGGGGAGTATGCTCTGTGTGTGTCCTGCACACTCTTTCTCTCCACCGCTTCATAATCAGAACATGAAGAACCAGCTCAATGAAGACGCAGATTAGTAAACAGAGACCCCCAACTGTATTTTAAAGAGAGAAATGGAGTCTGATTAGGGGTCAGAGACAGAAAGAGAAGCCCAGGAGGGGGGTGGAGGAAAAGATGGAGAAGGATATGTTGGCAGCCGTTCATTCCGACTGTGTCCTTGGTTGGAGGTGATGCCTATTTGTCATAATTATCCTACATCTTCCAAATTTTATATAATTAACATGTATTTAGAGCCAGAGAAAAATTAATATATCCTTTTTTAAAGCAGAGCATTAAATGGAATGAAATAAGCTCTGTGCCCCCTCTTTGAGGACATACCCAGGCCTGCCCTCAGAATGTTAAAAGTCAAGGCCATGATTCCTACAACACCACCTACTGAGTCTAGACACACCCTTGGGAGCTTGCCCACACACCTGCCCCCCAGCTCCCCCACCTCTCACACACACTCTGTACACGCATACACACCACCCCACCCCCAGGCTACGGGTCTAAAATCTACACAAAGGAGAGCCGCACAGACCAAGAATAAACTGTGGAGTTAATTCATGTCAGCCTATCTCCTCTAGGCCCTGATCACCAGAAAAGAGTTCAAGAAGCCAGGCACCCACCCCCATGGGGTCTCCTCACCCCAACATGGCTGCCTACCTAGAAGCTCAACAAGGCCGAGTGGACAGATCTGCTTATACATGCATTTTGGACCATCTCTAGAATTGGCTGCTCCTGAGAGAAACCAAACATTTCTAGAAACCTGAAAAACTCTCTGCCGTGTCAGCCCAATGACAACATCGGCAAAGAGTCTGAGATGACATTTCTAATGTGTGGCAGACTCCTCCCAGGAACTGAGCCAGTGATGGTAAGGAGGTTCATCAGCAGAGAGGAAGTACCACTGAGGAAGGAGACAGGAGGGACTAAGACCAAAGCCAGATCTGGCAAGAGCATGTTTGAGGCTAGGGAGGAGTCCTCAGCTGGGTCTGCAGCCAGGACCTAGTGAGCTCAGCAGGGGGGACCACATCACCATGAGCATGAAACAGGCTGCTGAGAAACACGGGGTGGACAAACAGGAGGCAGGCAAAATCCAGATTCTGCTAGACTTCCCGTCCCTCCAGTCCCCAGAGGGCAGGGACTTCTACTTTAACTGGGGGAGGGGAGAAGGGCTATGAGCCCAGCCAGAATTATCTGGCAAACCATTTGGAACTGGTGCCCATTGCCTCTGGGATCTGCCTCAGAATGCCTGGTCCTCCCAAGTGCCGAGTGGTGTGCAGGAGAGACGGAGGGAGCAAAAGATTTCCTGACCAACCAAATATGATCGCTGGATCTCAGAGGAAAACACAATACAAAATTGGTTTTCCCCAAGTCCCCCATCAGACACCATCAGGCCAGGGCTTCCCGGAGACCGGCCCAGGGCTCCCTCCTGGCCTCGGGGTTCCTTGGGAGAAGGGCTCTGCCTCCTCAATCAGACAGGGAGCTCCATGAGGGCAGGGTCCAAGCCTCCTCCACCAGAGCAGGCAGATCTCACTTCCTCCTTCTCCTGGCCCACCTCTGAGGCCCTGTGAGCCCAGCCCCTCCACATGTGGCCACACCGCCAGGAGCCCAGATCCCAGCTCCTCACCCTCTGGCTGGCCAGCAGCTCTAGCCAGAGTGGCCATGTGCTCCCACAAAGAGCTCAGAGCCCAGCCCCGGTTCACTCATGTCAGTGCCGGGAGGGTGTCCAGGCCGGGCCTCCTCACCGTCCGCCCCTGGCTGGGCTTGTAGCCGGCAGGATTCAAAATAGTCTCCCCCTCCAATCTGAGTCTGTAGACAGTTTGAGGGCGGCACACACAGAGAACAGAAATCCTGCTGGGCAAGCCCTGCACTTCCCTGCACAGACTCAGATAGCCCACTGAGGGGGTGGGAAACAGGAGCCAGGACTGGGCAGACTGGAGCTTGGGGCTAATTATCTGCCTAATTCAGTTACAAACAGCCACCAGGCCAGAAGGCACTAGTATTGAACATGGCTGAAGCCTGGGTAGGACCATCCAGAATTTCCACTTGGATTTTCCCAGTCTAGAGAAGCTCCTTCTTAGACCCATACAGAGAGTAGGCAGGTCATCCATCCATCCATCCATCCATCATCCATCCATCTGTCCACCCACCCACACATCCACCCATCCAGATAGACTTCACTGAACACCTCCTTAAACCAGTCCTGTGCTGGGCGTTGAAGACACAGAAGGAGTGTACCCAGTGACTGTCCTGAGCCTGGTCTGGGGAAGGTGGCTGACATTTGCAGACATTCAGGACCTAAAGCAAGGGCAGTGACCAAGATATAGACAGGGCTTGCAGGAGAAGGGAGGGAGCCAGGGACGAATCCCGGGAGGAGGTGACCACAGCTAAGTTGAGTCTTAAAGAATGACCAGGAATAGACCAGAAGGTGTCCCCAGCAGAAAGGATGGTGGACAGAACCCCAGAGAGTCACGGAGGTGGGAGAGATGGAGAGCGTGGGGCTTCTGAGGACTCTTAGCATCAGAGAAACTACAGAGCAAGCCTCTTGTCTCAGCAGCAGCTAGGCCCACACCAGAGATGTTCCCTTGGAAGTGGCACAAAGGTGAAAGATGCACAAGCAAAAAAAAACCAGAAATCAGTCTTAAATGTTAGAAGGAAGCCCTGTAAACACATCTCCAGGACAGCTTTGAGGATCCTGAGCCCGACTTAGCACCCCAGTGCGTTCTCTTGCTCCTGAGGCCGATATTTGTTTGGTGGTTTAAAGAAAACAGAACCTCCTGAAGTGGGACACCATCCCTGGGTCAATAAAGAGACCAAGAGCCTAAGGACACACGCATGGTCTACACTGGCTGGAGGCTCTGCCTCTGGGCAGCAGGGAAGGTCTGGGAGCCCCAGGTGCCAGGGGTGTGACCAGTGACCAGCATCATGCAAAGCCAAGAGGAGGGTGACAACTTAGAAGAGATAGCAGGTCAAGTCTGGTGCTCACTGTGAGGCCATCTCCACCGAGGGAAGGACTGGGTGATCTTGGCCCTACAGGAACTAGAGCAGCCCAGGACCCAAGGCGCGGAGAGTGCTCCCTGCTCACTAAGAGATGTCACAGACCCCCTGCCATGCTGTTCGGCATTGGAGTCTGGGTCAGCAGCTGGCCCTCGGTTGCCAAGTACATAGCAAAGGGATGCCTCTTACCTGTCTGCAGGGTTGGATTCCCTTGGAATAAGATCCCCCTCCTGCCCCTCACCCTTTCTTTTCCTGGAGGCGGAGGGAATGGGACAAGAGGGACTATTGGCTTGGACACAGCTCTCTCCTTTTCAGCTGCTTCCAAGGTGCCCCCACACATGAGCCTATAGATGAATCTACCCCTAAGCAGGGTTCTGGCTGGGGTAAGGCAACGGGACTAGAGCACCCCCAAGACTGCCTGCTCACTCTCTCCCCTGTCTTCCTTCTCTCTCATTTGCGGCCCCCACCATGATTTCCTGAGTAATTGTCAGGGGGAGCCTTCAACACGGCCCCCTAAGCAGAGGGCCCATTTTTTTTTCACATGCTTTGGGGAAAATGATTGGGTCTTGCCCAGGCACCACACACAGCCTTCCCCCAACCCCTCCACTCCACTCCTGACCAGACTGAAAGTTCCCATCTGGGTCCCTCCACCTATACGGTATCCAGCCCCCAGGGTACGAGGGAGATGTCTTATAGAGGCCCTGTGGTAAGAAAGGGAAGGGAGGAGGAGTGGGAGAGATGAGGAAGGGGGAGGGGCAGCCAAGGCCAGCAGAGCCCGAGTCTCTTTTGGGGACCCAGTGCTCGTCTTACCTGCACAGGGATGAGGGGTTCCTTGTCATCAATGTCAATGAGCACATCTTCCCCAGGACTGAGTAAACTCACATCATCTGTAGGGAAGAGCGGAATCCAGGCCCGAGAGGGGCTCCCTCAGGGGCCCTCGCCCCTCTCCAGCCACAAGACTCAGCAGGGATACTGAGACAAGAGGCCCTCAGCCTTCTACACTTCTCAATCTGTGTCCTTCTCTTCCCACCTAGTTCTTCCCTCTCCCGCCTCTGTCTCTCCCATCTTTTTCTCACATTCTCTATCTCCCCAGTTCTCTCTCTCCCTCCTCATCCCATGGAATCCCTGCCTTTCTCTCTCCCTCAAGTCTTCCCCCACATCCTCCCACAGCAGCCCTGGCCTCTCAGTAGCCCCAAGCGAGGTGATGCCCTGAGAAAGGCAAGATTCCCACCCTCCTGGTCCTGGTCAGTTGAGCAGAAACCACTTCTCGCTCAGGTTCTGGTAAGAGGAGGGCTTCCGGGCACATCTCACCTGGGAAGCCCCACCTGCCTCAGCCCCTCTGCCCTGGCCCTCTCCCTCAACAGCCCCACCCCCTACCTGGGCCGCCCTGTGGGGACGGACTCTCCTCGGAGTACAGGTCACACATGAATCTCTCCAGGGAGCGGATGGTACACTGGCCCACCATAGGCCGACGGCCAAACTGGCGGTTATCAATGACCTTGATCACGATGGGGGGACAGTAGAGGTCCTCCCTGGGCAGCATCTGGGCAGAGTGGGAGGGAAGCTCTGGGCGGTGGCCTGAACCCATCTCTGGGAGGCTTCAGGGTGGGGGGGGTGCTCTCCTTCACAGAACAAGTTCAAGAAGCGAAGAGTGACAATAAACCTGCACATAACCCTCAAGAGCCATAAATCCAAAGTGGTGGTTGGCTGAACCCAGGCACTGGCCAGGGGAGGAGAAGACACACACCTTTTCAGTCTGCCTCTTGAATGCTGTATGCAGAGGCTGACTTTTCCCCCACAGCTTTACCTTCCAAACATATCCAGCTCAGCCTGAAGCTAAAACAAGTCTACTTTCCCTGAACCCTCACTGGCTGGGGAGGGGAAGAAGGGAGAAGTTGGCCCAGGTCTCAACATTTCTTGCAGACAGTCCCCCCCAAGTGGATACTCAAGAGTTGGCTTACAGACCCAGATTCTTCTCCTCCCAACCCCAGCCCCAAAAGCACTTTGAACACAACTTGAAATAATTTATATGCTCTCCTTCGGTGGCGGCTTTGGCTCAGCCAAGAGGAGGCTCCTGTTGACAGCCACTGGGCCTGGAATTTCTATAGTGCTTTCATCTTGCAAACCATTTTCCTTTCCTCAGACTTGCCTTACTCCGGCCACTAGGCCCAGGCAGCCCAGGGAGCTGCAGAGGGCTGGGGGCCTGTGGGCCTTGGGGGTGAGCCCACAGCGAGGCTGGAGGAGGATCCAGTCAGGGAAGGTTTGGAGGAACTGCAGAAGGTCAGAGCCCTGGTGGGCCCCTGGGGAGAGCTCCAGGGGGCTGAGAACTGCCCTGGTAGGGAAGGGTGGGTCCTTGGGACTTCTGTGCACTCGGTATCTGGGTAGGAAGGAGCAAGCTGACCCCATTTGTGCTACTCACAGGCTTCCACTCTTCCAGCGAGGAGAAGGTGAGCACTGCTTCCCCACTTTCACAGACAAATGAGGTGGGAAAGATGCCGTGACCTAGCCAGGATCCCACAGGAAGCTGCCTGGAGCCCTGAGGACATTCTAGGCACCAGGAGCCTGGAAGGGGACAGCAGGGAGGTCAGGCTTACCACTTCCATGAAGAGGGTGCAGATGTCAAAGTTGGGGTTCTTCCGGAGGTTCTTGATGACACAGGACTGCACTGTCTGGCCCCCGCACTCCACCACGAGGCTGGGGGAGGAGATGCTGGCCAGCTGGTAACTCTTCATGTTCCGCAGGCCCCACGCCAGGATCTAGGGACACAGAGTGAGGCAAGCGGCTGGGAAAGCCCCAGGCCCCAGGAAAAGCCAGGGCCAGGAACGGGAAGGGCCAGGCCGCCTCCCTACCACCCCCCACCCCACCCCAGAGCCAGGCTCACCTCTATGGCAGTACGCTGGAGAACCGGCTTGATGTTCTGGGGAACCATGTAGATGTTGGCCTCCCTCTGAGGCGGTGGGTAGGGCAGGTCTGTGTCCTCCGACTGCAGGGGCATGACAGGCAGGACAGAGACAACGGTGGCAGGAAGACCAAGGCAGAGAGATGAAAAAAGGGCAAGACAGTTGGGGCAGAAAGAAGGACATGTGTGGAGAGAAGGAAACAGAGAGGCAAAGGCACAGGAGTGGGCAGGCAGGCAGGCAAAAATAAGAAAATGAAGTCAGTTTCTGCCAGGCACCATCTTGTCCGGCATCACCATCCGAGCACCTTGGCCTGGGACTCAGGTCACCTTGTTTCACATGAACCCCTCCTCCAAATACAGGCTCTGAGGCACCAGTGAGCTGCTCAGGGTCTCCCCGTCCCCCTCCCCACACAGACACATACACACACTGCCCACTTGCATCCTAGCACGCCCACTCCAGCCCCGCTTGGTCCCAGAGAAGACCTCATACCCTCCCCCTAGCCTGGTTCTCCTGCCTCCAGGCTCAGACCCTCCTGACCTACCATCCACTCTGGTGCCCCATTTCCATCCCCCACACCACGCCCAGGCACCTGCCAGCCCCAAACCCTCACCTCTCACATCTGTCCACCATGAAGACAGAACACCTGCTGTTAGCCAGAAAGAAAATGTACAAATAGGAGAAGAGGATGTAAGTGCCCATCGTCCGTAGGCACTAAAGGGAGCCACTGGGGAGGTTCCTTCACCACCACACACCGAAGATGAGAGCAGCGTGTATCAATTCTGCCTACTGAGGGTCTGCCAGAAAGACCAGGGCAAGAACCCCCAACGATCACAAGGAAACACGCAGGGAAGCAGCTGGGGCAAGGCAGGCAGGTGCCGCTGTGGCTTGAGCAACTACCAAGTCTCACAGTGGTTAGGAGCACAGGCTCTACTCCGCCAGCTGCTGAGTTAGATACGTTATTTCATCTCCCGGTGGCTCAGTTTTTTCACGTATAAAATGGTTATTCAAAGTTGCCAAGCTCTCAAGATTAGTGTGAGGCTGGAAGAAGTTGATACTAACACTCAGAAGAATGCCTGGTTCACGTGAAACCACAACAGCTCTACTAGCCCATGTGGCACCTTTGTGGCAATTAAAGAAAGACGTCCCTTCCTGAAGACTCTTTACTTCCACGTCAGAAAATCGTCATATTTTACTAGTTTATTAGAACAAGACACTTTACTGCCACCTACTGGAAAATTGTTATAATAAAAACAAATATATGATGTCTGCGCTGGTAATTGCCTCCCCTTAGACACAGAGCCCTTGTGCAGTGCACAACCCACACGTCCATACAAGCAGGCCCTGACACTCGGGAAATGTTGACTGTAAATAAAAGGGCTATGCTGGATACTTTACAGAGCTTGCCTTGTGTAATCTCATTTAATAAACACTGGAACATTTAATAATCCACTGGAATCAGTGGATTAATTCTCCAAGTGATTTGCTTTGGGCTCCTTCTCAAAGGATGGTGCATCCATGTACAAATGCTCTGACGTAGATGGCGGGAGCAGCTGGAGCACTGACACACATTGGCTTCCTCCTGCCTCCACGAATCACTTCACAACCAACCCCAGCTGTCACTCCTGCCCAGCGACACACTGATGACACTACACTTGCCTGACCTGCAGCGGTAAAAAGCTCATTTCTAGAATCAGACAGACCTCAGTTCTAGTTCCAGCCCTGCTGCTTTCTAGCTGTTTGACCTTGGGCAAATTATTCAACGTCTGTGACTCATTACCCTCATATGAAGATCCAGGATAACAATACCCTCACGAGCCCGCTCCAACAGTCAGTGAGAGAACAAACAGAAAGTGTCTGGCACCCAGGAGCTGCTTTAGGAAACTGTAGTGATGGCAGGGATGACCTGATTGTTGTCGGTCCCACTGCTTTTACCATTAGCGTTGTCGTTCTCCCAGAGTGACTTGAGGGGTACCCAGCCACCAGAAGCATCTCTCAGAACAACACTGGCTTTGTAATTAACTATCCCCATGTCCCGCGGGCACAAAGCAAAGGAATTCCTAATCTACCTCCACACCTTCAATGCAGGTGATGTGGGATAGGAAGCAGCTACATTTTCAGACTGGCTGGGAGACAGGTGCTGTCAGGAGGAGGGGCCATGTGCTGAGCTGCCCTAGGGCACAACTCCAGGGGGCGCTGTGTACATCACAGTTCCCATAAGCAGTGGCCTAGAGGGTGGAGACAGGGCTCTTTAAAAGAAGGGTTTTGCCTGAAGTTCATGGTCTGTTTGTGGCCTGCTTAAGGCTGATGCCCAGCCCAATGTGGGGGGGTGGGGCAGGGCCAAACATCCAGGACCAAAAGGAGCACAAAGAAGGGATCAGAGAGGCAGAAAGATCAAACCTTTCTCACATGCTTATACCGTTCTTCTGAACCACCAGGAAAACTCATTACTATAGCTCCCCCACCCAGAACATTTCTCTCCAGGCCCCCAAACTCTGGGCGGTATCCCTCTGATTCCTGTTTCTCCCTCATTTCCACGTTCCGTCTTTCCTCCCAGCTCTGTTGAGCTCCATGGTGATGACGTTCCTCTCTACAGGCTGAGGACCAGGCTCCCCATTTTCAGAAACCTGTTTATGAGGAGGACAGAAACAAGAACCTCGAGAAGGCTAGGCTCCAGTACCGTTTGGAGGAGGCCCTGGAGGAATAAGGCAGGTGCACACAGCTGTGGAACGCCAGGCCCAGCGGAAGCAGGAGGAAGAAACAAGCAGAGACAGTGGTTAGAGGTATGTCCGCCGGCAGCTTCCTTGGCACGGCGTGAGGCCACCATTCTCCATCCCAAAGCCATCTCTGTCCACCTCACTGTCCCCAGGGGTCCAGGCACACCTTTGCTCCCTGCTATTTGTCACCAGGATCCCTGCCTCTGCAGCCCACCCCCACCCCCCCCACCTGGCCCGTGGGCTGCCACCACAGTCCTCTGCCCCCCTCCCCACTGTGCACACCGCACTGCCCATCCAGCCCCGCGGAGTTATCGCTGCCTCTCTTGTTCCCCAACCCTGTCCCGTCCCGTCCTCCCCAATTCTTCACACTATCTGCTGGATCATTTCCTTCCCTATTTAAAGATGGTCTCTTGGATCCATCCCTGCCCTGCTCTCCCTGTCTTCCAGCAGTCTCCCTCCCCCTTCCCTCTCTCCCTAAAAAGGTCTGCCTCTATCCACTACCTCTCTTTCACTTCCGCGAGGCCCTCTGCCCAATGCACTCAGCTCTGCCCCCAGCACCCCTGCCCTGAAAACTCTGTCCAAAGTCAACAACTTGCTTGTAGCTCAGCCCAAAGGCCACTGGCAGGCTCGCATCTCTCCCACTCCCTCAGCAGCCTCCTGCCAACTAACCTCAGCCTCCTTCCTAAAACCATCCCTCTGGTTCCTCTCTGCTGCCCTTTCCCCCTCTCCACCCTCTGCTGGCTGAGTCTCCTCCTCTGCCCAGCCCTCTCCTGGGATTTCTGCCTCCAGGCATCTGCCCTAAGCCCCAGACCCACATTGCCAACCTCTTACTGCTCAGTTCACCCATGTGCCCTACTGGCCTCTAACACTGAACTGGTCCCAAACTGGATTCTCTAAGTTTCCCCTAAAAACCTGCTCTCTCCCAATGTCATCTCAGAAACCAGCCCCATCATCTACCTTGACGATCAAGCTAAAAAGCCCCATGCCACACTTGGCTCTCCTCCCCCTCATCACCGTGTCTGATGGACCACCTGGCCTTCATGATTCTGTCTCCTAAACTTCTCGCATGCCCATCCACCTGTCTCCTTCCCTCGGTTCGCGCTCTCACCCTCTCTCACCTGGATTCACCAGCATCCCCCTAAGTGTTCTCCTTGCATGTGGTTTTGCAAATCCCTTCCCAAGAGCCAATGCATGCTGTATTCTGCAGCCAAGGGGGAACCTTCTAGAATGTCATTCTGTTTAAAACCCATCAAACATTCCCCAGCCACTCAGGATGAAGTCCAAACTCCTTAACATGGCCTCCAAGGCCCCTCATCTTCCAGTTCCTTCCCTTGGGGAAAGGAAAGGGGGATGGGAGACCACTGGGTTTATTTTCCCTCAGCGTCCCCAGGTCCTCCCTTGCTCGCCCTCCCCACCCACCCTGAGTGCAGGGCAGACGCAGGGCTGCTCCATTGATGGGTCCTACATCCCAGATAAGTGATGAGCCACCTCCCCGCACACGCTGAACACTGGCCCTTCTGAACACTAGCAGGTTGCAAGAGGCAACACACTCTCTTTACCTTTGAGGCTTGGAGTGGCTGGTCCCTCTGTCTGAAATCCTCTTCTGCCCACTTCATCTGGCTACCTCCCACTCAGACTTCAGATCTCCATTGAAATCTTCCCTGGGGTCTTGAGCTTAAGCTAAGCACCCCCTGGCTTCTACAGCAAGTGGACTCACTCCCACTGAAGGACACGCCACCCCGTACCATCTGTGTGTGTTAAACCAGCAACTCTGCAGGCAGGGACCACAGCTGAAATCTCTGTCCGATAACTACAGGATGATGAATGGGTAATTGAGGGGAGGGAGAGATGGCGACGGGATGAATGAGTGGGTGGATGGTTGAATGAAGAACTGACTCCAGCATCCCCTCCCCTCCTTCCCAGCACTCCTGTCTGTGCCAGCCTGCTCCGTGCCTGCTCATCACTCCCTCGGTCTGAACGGTCTTCCCGTACACCTTCCGGAATCTAACACATCTCTCAGTGCCTCCTTCAAGCTCTCCATCTTCCAGAAAATCTCCCAACCACCCCCAGAAACTTCTTTTTGCCCTATTCTCTGGCTTCTTTGACCTCTAAGTGACCCTGTGGCCCCGTTTCCCAAGGTCCTGACTGGTCTCGGACACCTCACTGGGAGAGTCCTATGGCCCTGGCCAGATGGCTGGCTCCTGAGCCTGAGCTGTTCAACTTCTGGTCCAGTCAACCTGAGGGGCTCAACACCTCCTTCCAGGCCAGTGATTCTTGGTGGGGGTGGGCTGCAGCCTACCAGCATTGCCAGCCAGGGGGGAGGTATAGACTTGAAGTGTCACCAGGACATCCTAATTCACTGTCCTATGTGAGACGGGGACTCTGAGGACCACAGACCTCAAAGGCAGCCATACAATACAAGTCTAATTAGATGAAGCCACACTTGACCAATGCCTCCCTTGCTCGCCCTTCCCACCCACCCTGAGCACAGGGCAGATGCAGGGCTGCTCCATTGATGGGTCCTACAGGTGGGCAGGGCGTTTACCGAACTGCCTCCTCCGATCAAGAGGACAAGGACCGAAGGATAGATGAGGCTCTCTCCCCCAGCAGAGAGAAATCTACCCTTATGCCCCCTTCAGTCTATCTGTCCAGCAGGCCAGCTCAGTACAGAGAGCCGAGGACAAGCCATGAGGGAGACTTCCTCCCCTAGGTCCAGGGGCCACCACACCAGACAGATGTTCGTTCCCAGGGCAGAGCTGGGGGAAGGGTTGAGCTCCCCCGGCCACCTCAGTAGTCCTGTTACCAGTAGCCCCACGGACCCCCACCTCCCCCAGCAGGGTACAGTCGGAGGACCTCTGGACCTTCAGATCCTGGCTCCTCAAGGAGCTGCAGGCAGGGGCAGCCAGGCGTGCTGGGAGGGCTCCATTGTCTGCCTGCCCCACCCAGCTCGTTAGGAACAACATGTTGCTCTAATTACACTTCCCAGGAAAAACAGTGTTTTAAATTAAGGCCTTGGGGGAGGGAAAGGGGGATGGGGGACCACTGGGTTTATTTTCCTGATTGCAAAACACCAAAATTTTCCTTCTAGTGGATCTGGGGGTGCGGGAGAGTACCTTGTGTACATCTCAGACTAAAAGCCATACCCTGGAGATGGAAGGGGATAGAGTGACATCTGGTTGGCCCCCTGAGCCCTCCGCGAAAACAGCCACGGAGCCTGCAGTCCCTTCCACTAGGGCATCCCCTGCCTGCCCTGCAGCAAGACAGAAGCGGCAGAACCAAGGGTAATGCCCCGAACCACGCCCCCTTCAATGGTCAGGTCTGCAAGCCCCAGCTCCCGCCTACAGCGTCCCCAGGTCCCCAGGTGGGATCTCCTTCTGCACATGCTCCATATCCTCGGGGGCCCCCGGCTGTTAAGGAAACAGCCATCACCTCTTCTGCTGCCCTTGTGGGTGTGGGTGTGTGTTTGTGTGTGCGCGCACACGCGTGTGTGTGTGTTCTTGCGCGTGTGCACACTCGCACACACTCACACGTGCATGTGCACAATGTCCAATTCTCAGGAAATCTAAAATTGCAGTTTCTTTGAATTCATTCCCCTTGGCAGCATGGACCGCCTTTGTTCTCCAGACAAAAAGGAAAAGAAACGAGACAGAGGGCTCAGAAGAGGCGGGGAGAAGGAGGGAGAGAAGGAGCTGGAGGCCAAGGAGCAAACCGAGGAAGAGGGAAACAGGAAGGGAGAGCGGAAGAGGAGAAGGCGAACAAGGCTCAGGAAGGGGGGAGATTCTTACTCTACCCTGACAGAAAGACAGACTGGGCAGCTGGGGAAGGAAGTCCTCCCCTCATGCATGCTCTCTGCAAGGACCCAGGTCTCCCAGACGTCACCAAAGCCTCAAAGACACAGGGCAAGAGTCCCGATTCCCCCCACTGGAGCTCCCAGAGAGGACTGCTCCAGACGGGCATAAAGCCTGGGGGGAGGAGAAATCATGTCACCCAACAAAGTGGTCCCAGCCCAAGGCACTGCCACCTAGGCCCCCCCACTGCAGCCCCTTCTGCCAATCCCGCCTTCAGATGCTAGCTCAGTGTCACCTCTTCCAGGAAGCCATCCCCACAGTCCTCCATCCGCTCTGGGAGCCATCAGCACAGCATGGGCAGATGTCATTCCCGGACACTCTGTCTCCCACACAGGCATGGGATACACTGGCCAGAGGCACTCCCCACCAGAAAGGCCATCCCTAAACCATCCTTCAGAGTCACAGAAGCCTCTTACCTGGTCCTGCCCCTGGCTCCCCAACGCACACCCGCCGGTGGCCACACAGTTTCCTAACAAAGCCATCTGCCCTGTCTGCTCCCAGACTTTTGAAGGCTCCCGTGGCCAGCGGCCCAGAATCGAAGCTGCCAGCGTGCCTTCTCACAGCCCTCAGGGAGAGCTTGTGCACTCTTCACGGGGACCAGGCTGGGAGCCTGGAGGGGGCCTAGCGGGGGCATACAAGGCAGGAGCTTGGCCACAGCAAAGACGGGAGACTCTGCTAAGGCCTCGGGCTTCCTGCAGGCCCCGCAGCTGCAGCTGGACTGACCTGTCCCTGGGGATTCTGGAAACCACATAGGACCCAGGACCTCGGCATGAGGCTTAGCCTTCAAGTGCACGGAAAGTGGCCCAGCCATGGAGCCCCAGGTCTGGGGTCGGGGCCCCTGAGAATAAGGGGGTCCACAAGATCATCTTCTGGGGTCATTCCCTAGACCGGCTGTTACTCCATTCATCCTGCTGGGCCTCGGACGCTTTGAACCTGCTGACTCAGCCCCGCCCCGCCCCATGCCCAGCAGACCCCCAAGATGAGCTCTGCTCTGGCCCTGCAGACCCATACCCCACCTCAGTCTGTGGCTTGGCTGGCTCTGCAGCAGGACACTTGGCCCTCTCTGGGGTCTGCCCCAAAGCGGCAAATTTTGATTTGCTTCCTGACAATGAGACCACAGCCAGATCCCTGCTCTCGGAATCTGAGCCTTCACTGTTACATATTACAAATCCAGTTATTAAGGACTTTAGCTTTTTTTAATAACTCATCCCTGGGCTGGGTCTTCTTCAGAGCAGGCTGTGGGTTTTGGCCACAAAGTGCTCTCAATCAAGAGAAAGGGCTCCGTGCTGCTTCCCTGGACAGGACTCTGCTCCCCTTTCCAAATCAGCAGTCTTTCACAACTGTGGCCAGAAGCAGGAGGCTGCCTGTCAGGCACAATTATGGCCAGCTCACTTGGCAGACCCCACCTCGGTCTCGGAGCAAAAGGAAGTGAGGTAAGGGGCGCGGGGCCTGCGGATCCCACATCCTGACCCTGCACTTCAAGTCCAAATTGCACTGAAAATGTCAAATGGTGTCCGCTCCCAGCCTGGGGATTCCCTGATGGCAGGAAGTGGCTGCCCTTTTCCCAACCCATCTGACCAGGGTTCTCCTTCCTGTCTCCCTGCCCAGGCCTCAGCCCCTGCTCCCTCCTGAGGACCTGCTCACAGATGTGCAGGAGGCCATAGGGGAACGTGCTCCTCATCCCTCATGGCAAAGGATATAGCCTTACTTCCTCTGGAAGCAAACCCTAATCTTCTTCCAGAACCTAGGAATCCCCAACCCCACCGGCCCCTAAAGCAGCCAGGCCCTAAACTGGTGCTTGGCCCCCTCAGCCAAAGGCACGTTCCCCATTTTCCTGCAACAGTGTCTGGCTAATGCTACCTTCACCAGAAAGGCTTCCTTGACTACTCTGGCCCCTTATGAACATTTTATTCTTGAAAACACGCCACCTGGTACTCAGCCAGACGAGGCTCTATTTCTGCCAGGAGCTCTGGGTGAATCCGGCCTCCAACAGGGCAGCAAGCCGTCTGGGGCCAGAATCACGCCAGGATATACCCCAGGCAGCCCTGGGTCTGCACAGAGTGTGGGGAATGAAATCTAGTCAGGTCCCTAAATGGCAGATGCCCACTGGGGCACCAGGAACCCAGATGGCTCTGGGGCACTTGCCCAGAGGCGGGCCTTCTCCTTCCCTCTGTCCCTGCCCACGCACCCCAGCCACAGGTCACAGCTACAAGGGTCCAGCTCACCTCATCCAGGATTCCTGATGTATCCTGCACCTAGGGCGCACCATGGGATGTTCCATGTCCAGGAGATCGGCAGAAGGAAGAGAGGAGGGGGGGTGGGTAAAAGTTTAGCATTAGTGACAAGGAGCACTAGGCTGGGGCAGAGATCAGCACACCAGAGTGTCACCCTCAGAGAAGCCAACAGAAACCGCCTCCCATCAAGGGTCAGGGCGAGGTGTTCCAGCCAGGCCTTCCACGTGGCTCCTGAGAAGGAAGGTGTGATGGGGTGTCGATGCAGAGACTGGTGGGAGAGGCCAAAGCATAAACCTAGAGCCCAGGCGTCTCTGGAGGGGACGGGAGAAAGGGAAGTGACAGGTGGTGGGAAGGGTCCTAGACCCTGCGCAGCAGCCCCAGGAAGCAGCCAGGCCTGAACCCCCGCCCCCGCCCAAGCTGCTGTTTCTGCTGGAGCACGTGGACCTGGGAGAGGCAAGGAGAAACAACCCGGATCCCCAGAGGCTGGCAGGCCCGAGAGCAGGAGTTAGGACTGGACAGGAGAGAGAGGGGAAGACAAGCCAGGGCGGGGAGCGCGGGAGAAGCAGAGGGTGGAGTGGGGGGCCGGGGGCAAAGGAGGGCCTGCAGGGTAAGAACTGTCTGGAAATTGTGCAGGCTGCCTCGTAAGGGGGGAGGCATCCAAACACAGCCTGAATGACTGCTTCAAGCTGCAGCTGAGCCTGGCGGAGAAGAGTACTTCCCAAATCGAATTAGCAGGGGTGCCAGTAAAGGGTCTGTATTTTCTACCATGACCCCCACATGAGAAGAAAGGGGAGCAGGGAGCAGGGAATGGAGTCCCCACCACTAGCAGAGGGAGGAAAACCAGGTCATGGTGGAAACCAGGAGCTGGGGAAGAGCTTGGGGACTGAACATGCCTCGGAGCCCCTGGAGGGCTCGTGCATACCTGGGGGAGGGAGGGCTGCCCGGTGCCCTCAGGGTGCACTTCAGTCGGTTTGAAGTGGGGCCCAAGACTCAGCATTTCCTACCACACGCCAACGGTTTTCAGTCCCAGCTGCACCTTAAAATCCCCGGGGCAGCACCAAAGGCCACCAGGGCCTGGGTCACTCCCCCAAGAGGTGGCGTTTTGTTTGGTCTGTGGTGCAGCCTGAGCACTGGTGATTTCTCAAGCTGCCCAAGGGAGTCTAATAGGCCACCCTGCTGAGGGACACTGGTCTGGGTGGCCATGAGGTCATTTCATTCTGGGAGTCTGTGATTCTCGGACTTCTCAGGGAAGAAGGGCAGGAAAGGCCAGAGCTGTGCAGGGACCCCAGCCCCTATTCACTCTGCCCCATGGTCCTTCCTCTGCTTGAAGGCAGGATAGTGATGGTGAATGCCTGATCGCCCTTCCCAGCCCGGGGTGGGGTGGGGTGCTGCAAGCCAGAAGGATGGCAATCAGTTAAAGATTTAAAGGCAAGAGAAAGACTTACCTCAAAACCAGGAATATGGTGAATGGCCGGCTAGGGTGCAAAAAAAAGAGAGCTTCAGTCAGGTGCCTGTCACCCAAGGCCCCAGCATCCTGCTTTCTGCCCTGGCCAGGCAAACACATTTCCCACCATAAAATGACACTCATGGAATGTATCAGTGATCAGACAGTGCAGGGGTTTGCAGATTCTATTTCCTGGAGGCCTAGGGACTCTTCAGAGGAGGGTGGAGGTGGTGGGCGACTGCAAAGGGAAGCTGGGTTGGTGGTATGTGGTGCCCCCCTCCAGACACCTCACCCGGAGTAGCCCCATTTCTATCTGGCCTACCTATGGAGGTTCACACCACAGTAAGAGCAAGTTTGGAGAGATGGCTGTAAACCCAAATGCCCTATTTCAGAGCAGGGAAGTGGCTGGCCCTGGGTCACACAGCTAGGCCATGGCAGAGGCAGGACTAGAACAGAGGTCCTGCCTGTACCTGTCCGTGGAGATGCCCCCATCACACTTAAGCCCCCCCAAACCAGATCACAGAGGTCTAACTCCCAGAAACCACTTCAAGTTATGACCCAGGGAAAAATATAGCCAATGACCAATGACCAGAAGGATTCAGGCATTCTAGCACAGTCCAGATTCCAACACTCTCCTTAATAGTGAGAGCACATTGTGCTGGGGTTCAGAAAAGATGGGCAAAGCCAACCCTCAGCAGGAGGCCTGACAGCGGGTGGCTGTTCAGTGTTCCCCACTGACTGCAGGCCCACAGTCAGGGAAGAAGGATATATTGCAGTCCCCTCTCCTCCACTGGGGATCCCCTCCCTGTGCCCCCCATTTTCCCCCACTATGGATGTACTCCCTGCCTAGGCCTCCTGGATCTGGATATGAACCAGCCTCACCTTCTCTCTCTGGATGAGCTCAAAAGAGGCCAGCAGCTCGCCTGCCGGCTGGCTGCCCCTAATCAGCGGGAACCAGGCCAGCCGGGGCATCCGTTCCAGACTGGGCTGACACATGCAGCGTCCCATAAACTCATCTGCACCCTAGACCGGGCATGGAGAAAGAAGAGTCAGCATTTCCCAGTCCAGGGCTCCAAGTGGCCTCAGAGCAATCACCAGAACTATATCTGGCCTCCTGAACTAGAAAGGGACTCAGGAGTCAGGGCAGCCCCCTGGGGCAGAATGCTGCACTCTGCCCCCTGCTTAGAAGAATGTAGGGACAACATGCAAGTAACCTCCGACCACCATTGCTAGATTTGAATTCCCATCGTGGTCAAAAATCCCTCTGTATGTCTAACTAGCCTTCACCTTGATTGAATTTAATCAGGCTCTGAGCTTCTTTGAGACCACAGTAATAGCCCCCTAGCATTTCCCTAAACCCCCTCAGCACAGGAGGTGTTTGACATTTCCAAGGGTTTTGCGTCTCCTTTAAATCCCCCCACTTTCTAGCTGGGGAAACTGATCAAATTCAATGAGTCTTGTTAAAATGATGTTTGATCTTATCAATCATGCTCAGGCACCTTCCATGGCTCCCACTCCCTGGAGGATAGAGCCCACATCTCCTCTGGCATGGAAGGCCCCCCACTGGAGCCCGCTGGCCTCTCCTGCCCTGCCTCATTCTCTCCGCACAACCCCTACTCCAGTCGGCTGGCCTCTGCTGCCCTCTCAGCCCCTGGCCCTCACATGGGCCACTTCCCCCAGCCGCCCTGCCCTCTGCCCATCTCCGCCATCCCCCACAGCCCTGCCCAAGTGTGGCCCCCTGGCGTGGCCCCCATGACCTCACTGGCCTGTGACTCCAGCCTTGGGATTAGCTTCCCCAAGGGGGCAGCAGCAGGACCGGGGTCTCAGCCAGATGGTGCTGCAGGCCTTCCAAGCCCCGGTGCGTCGCCCAAGGCCCTCATCTGGAGAGATCCGAGCAGAACTGGGAGGGACCAGTGTCTGCAGTCATGCCACTGCTGGGGACGTCCCCAAGGGCCACTCCAGAGTGGCCAGCACCTCCTGCATGAATGCCTACGCGGCAGGTAATAGTCCAGCATCAACCACTCAGTGTGGACAGCAGCATGGTGGGGGGAGAGGTCCCGGATGCCCCTCTGGCCCGGTGTTGCCCCATTAGTTGCAGGTCATGGAGAGGTGGTGGGGAGGGGAGCCTGGGCAGCCAGGCCAGCAGGAGGAGCTCGAGACAATGGGTGTTTGCCAACAGGTACAGAGTCATCTGACTATGTTAACAATGCACACAGCCTCTGCTCTCCCCCAGGACCCTAGAGCTCAACCACCCAGAAGAAGCCATGGCTCTTCTCCCCCTGGGATCCTCTTAGACCCTGGCCTGCTGGAGAGAGACAGGGTCAGAGCAACACTTGCAAAAGAGGAGGTGGGATGCTACTGGAAGAAAGACGGTGTGCTTGCCAGCCTCCTGCCCCCTCCCCCCAGTATTAGCACTTACACCTGCTCCCCTGCCCAGTCCCCTGGCCCAGCACATCCTGGTCCTCCTGCCTCTCTCTTCTTCCTGCCCCAAAGGTGCCAGGCCCTGTGCTCTTCCCCAGACAGTCCCAAATAGACTCTTGCTCCAGGTGCTCATTCCCCTCCCAGAGCCAAGGGAAGAGCTCTTAGGTGGGCCTCCCCAGCTCAGGCCTGCCATTGCCTACCGCCAGCTGGCCCCCTCCACCCAGTGGGACACCCTAAATAGCATCACCTTGCCCCACCCCCTGGTTGCCACACCTTCCCAGGGCACCTGACATCCAGCCATGGCAACTCTTTCTGGAAACATCTTCCAAACCCTGTTCCTCCCCTTTTATCCACTGCCACCCTACCCAAACCAGGCCGGGCCCCTCTGCCAAACATCTGTCAGCCAACCCAGTCTCTGCCTTCTCTCTTCTTTTCAAAATGTTGCTCAACCCCCTCACTCCCTTCTCCCCTGGCCTTGTACTCCTTTCTCCTCCTTCCCAGCCTGCCCTCTGCTCTCCTCAGTCTCCCCTTGCCCCATGCTGTGCTGGAACGCCCCTCTGCCTGGCCCTAACACCCCAATCGTGTTTCCTTCAGGGCCTGGGTCTTCCCCACAGCCTTCCCTCAAGTGCCAGCCCCGGGCTATCTCTCCCTCCTGGCCATCTAGAGCTGCGCTGTCCAGTACCTGAGGCAATTCACATATAAAGTTTAATTAATCAAGACTAAAAATGAAAAGGGAGTTTCTCGGTTGCGCTAGCCACTTTTTAGCTGCTCAACGGCCACCTGTGGTGAGTGGCTCCCATTCTGAACAGCACAGCCACAGAGCTTGGCCGGCACGACCGGAGGTTCTGCTGGACAGCTCTGGACGAGGGCCCTGCCTGTGCCGCCGCAGGGGTCTCTGCTCGGCGGGGCCTTCTCGGCTCCCACCTGCACAGGGAACACCAAGTGCCGGCCACTCCGCCCAGCACAGGAGCGCTCCATAACTGTGGAGTCAACGCAGCTCTCAGATGGGGAGAGAGGGCTCCTGGCCTAGGGCCTCAGAAGCAAGTTAGAGGCAGAGAAACCCTCTCCCTGCCGTAAGCACAGCACACGTGTGAGCAATCCCTTTTTAATTGCTCTAGGATAGTTTTAAGGGCTCCGTAGCCTGTGGGGCCAGGGGAGAGGCCAGGCCCTCCTGTGGGGTCTCCTCCCCGTGGGGTCCTCCCCATCCCCCACGCCCCGGCTCCTGGAGGGCGTGGGCAGCGAGGGGCCGAGGGAGGAAGGCAGGCTGACTCACGTAGGTGTCATGGTCATACAGCTCCACCACAATACTAGGCGGACGCTCGGCGACGCTGGCCGGCTCCCCGAAGATCTCAATCTCATAGAAGATGAGCGTCTGGTCCCAGGTGGGGTTCAGAGTGTTCTTCACCACTGCCGTCTTCTGGCTCTGGTGCAGGAAGGACACTATGGCGTAGGGGTCTGGGGGGGCCAGGCACAGGGAAGGGGCGGGCAGGACACAGCACAGACCGTGAGAGTTGTCTGCTCAAGAGTCCTGTGGGCCACAGAGCTGGAGCAGAGCCGTGGCTCCTGCCCTGGAGCAACAATCTACAGGTCAGAGCCCATTTCCCCAGTGCCCCCCACCCCCACACCCAGCCCCAGCCCTCTCTAAGGCCAGCTGGTGGGCCACAGTGGAGAAATGGAGCCGAGGCCCAGGAGAGCGGGCTCTGGGCTACTTCCTGGGCTGGCCACCGGGGGCCAGGTCCTGCTAGACGAAGTGGATGCCCAGATGGTGCATTCCTTTATTCACCCAGCGAGCATTAATTGAGTGCCTTCTGCATGCCAGGCCAAGAGCTAGGTGCTAGGGGCTGAGAATATAATTGGAGCAACACCCTAGTCCACACAAGCAACCATCAAACTACAATTGGGATCAGCGCTTTGAAGAGTGACTCTAAGTCGCAGTGGCGTATGAGAGAGGGGGGTCTATCTTCCTAGAGGAAGGGTGAGTACAGCAGCTGTGCGCTCAGACCGGGGTGCCTAGGCCTGCCTTTCAGCAAGCCCACGCCGGCAGCCACATGGACAACAAACAGCCTGGAGGGGGCAGGACCAGTTCCGAGGCCTCTCCAGGGATTCAGGTGGAGATGGTGGTGCTCAGATGGGCGAGCGCACCAGAGGGAAGCCCATGGACTCCAGAGCTGTTCAGCAGTGGGTCATGTGACAGGATCCCTAAGGTCCCTACAGCTCCCTGCTGCCCCAAACCGTTGTGCAGCCTGTCTGCCCCAGCCACGCCTGGAGGGGGGGAGAAGCCCACCCACTAGTCATTCCCCCCGCCTGCTCCCAAAGGGAAGTTAGTGTCACTAGAGGAGATTCGATGGCCATGGCTCTCAAATGTGAGCATGCAGCCGAATCACCTAGAAGGCTTTACCCAGACTGCTGGGCCCCACCCCCAGAGACGTGTTCATCAGGTCTGGGATGGGGCCTGAGAATTTGCATTTCTAACAAGTTCCCAGACGGCACAGGTGCTGTCCTCCAGGGCCACACTTGGGGAACCAGTGCAGGAGAAAGGCCTATGGAACTGAGTGCACGTAATCTGGGACAGGGGCAAAGGGCTTGGAGGAGGGGCTCCTCCAACTTCTCCCACGAGGATATCAGAGCCGAGCAGGGTCCAGTTTGCTGCCATTTTGTAAGACTCAGAGTGCCAGATGCTGAAGGACAAGCAAGTCCAGAGACGCAGGAACCTGGCAGCTGGATGCTAGATGTCTGGGAGGGCTGAGCCCAACTGCCCTCACATGTACTCTCCACCCTTGGCCCCCGCTCCAGCCTGCAGCACCCTGCCTCCTCGAGCCTCCCAGTTTAGCCCCAGCTGTGTGACCCTAGACCCTAGACCCTCAGTGCTAGAGGTCCGGTGCTGGGATGTCCAACTGTAATCCTGGGACTGGGATGGGGAGACAGCAGTTCCTCAGAAAGGGAGGGCAGCAGGATGGTTCCTTGGCCTAAAGGAGACCAAATGGCACACTATGGCCATTGTACAGGAGGTGGCAGAGAGTGACCCTAGAAGAGGCGGGAAGGTTGGGGAGGACTCCCAGCAAGAGATGGGGGGAGTAGGGTCCAAGATTCTGATTGTTGGCCATTGGCTAATTTTAAGGGTGGGGGAGATCTAAGCTAGGAGGCAGATGCCATGGGCACTCAATGGCTGAATAATGTTGGGTTTGGCTAACAGGAGGTAGCCGCCAGCATGGAACCAGGCTTCAGGCACAAAAGCCACAGTAGAGTCAATCCTGGAGGGCTTCCTGAAGGAATCTGGTTTTGAACCTGATTCGGGGGGTAGAAGAGGGCAGTGCAAGGCCCTTGACAGGGAAAGGGGCAGAGGAGACATGCCCACCCGTCTTGCCACCCCCATCTGGTGGAAACCTCCCTGACACGGGGCTCCCCCTTCCATGCACCAGCCCTGCTAGGGCTGGCCCCAAGCACTTCCCCTCCTGCCCCTGGCAGGGCCCAACGGCGTCTGTGCATTTAATGAAACCGTCTGGCTGTGATACCATCAGCTCCAAGCTCGGCAGAGAACCTCTCCCTGGTTCCAGTAAGGGAAAGAGGGCGCGTTCCGATAAATAAAACCATATTAGAGAGCCGGCGAAAAAGCCCCTTTTGTTCCAACCCCCCATGCTTCCCAACGCTTTGTTTTTATAAGCGCCAGGGCCCCAGACCGAGCGCGTTTACACAAAGATCACAATTGCACATTGTAGCGGCTGTGAACGCTGTATTGGTGTTGGCAGCACCCCCCACGCTGCCCCCACCCCAAGCCGACTCCTTCCAGCAGCCCCAGCAGCCCAAGCAATGAGCTCAGCGCTGGGGGAACGGGGAGGGGGTGGCTTTCAAACAAAAATCACCCAGACCCACACACGCGCCCCGCCCGCCCAGGGGAGGAAAAAACACACAACAAAGGCATTGTAAAGAGCAGGCCTGGAGGCCTGGGGCCTCAGACACTGGGCTACTGTGTGCTGGGGCCCGGCTTCTCCCCCCACAGGGCCCAGCCCCTCCAAAAAAAAGAAACAAGGGGGGCGGTGGTGTTGCTGAAGCAAGGTGGTCAGATGAGGGAAAGCCAGACAGACGCACAGACACATCCCTCTTCCTGGAAAGCCCAGAGGAGGCGGCAGCCGATCCCAAGGAGAGGTGGAGGGGAAGGTAAGGGGCTGGTTCTTCTCTGTCCACTCCAGCCTAGCACTCTTCCCAGGGCCACTCCCATAGAAGAGGGGCAGCATTGGCCTTTGAGCCTCACCCACCAAGCCACACAGAGCTGAAGGGGAAAGTGGCTGGACTGGAGCTCTCTGGGGACCATTAGCGCCCTAGGCAGCTCCAGCGGTGAACACACATGGTTCTATGGGATGCCATCACCTCGAGAGGCCCCAGGCAGGTGGTTCTTTTGCTGGACCTGAGCTCTGCTGCTCAGACCTTCCTAGAGTTTTCCTAGACCTTAACAATACACTAAGCCCTCCTCCTAGGCCCTCCCACCTTCCCAGCTCAGACCACCGGGATAGGAGACAGGGCAGGCAGCATCATCCCACTCATCAGAAGAAAGAGCTGTGCCCCATGAAGACAAAGTTACTAGCCCATGCTCACATGTGACCAGGGCTAGACCCCCTGACTCCCAGTCTAGTGCTCTGTCCACCATGCCATGCTCTTTGGGAAAGAACCCTTAAGAGAGAGGGGAGTAGTGCAAATGAAAACTACAATATAGCAATTTTTCCTATTAAATTAAGAAAAATTGTTTGGAATTATAAAACCCAGTGTTGGCAAATATTTGATGAAATAGGTACTCTCCTTTATTGCTGGAAGCAATTCAGGAAAGCAACTGGGCAGTATGCCCTAAAAAAACATAAAAATGTTTATACCTTGCTTCCTATATTCCTGGGAATCATCCAAATTAGCCAAAAAGCTGTATGTACAGAGATGTTCACTCCAGCATTATTTGTAATCCAGCATTCATTCACTCTGTAATTATTGACTGACCAGCACGTGATGGGTAAGCACAGTACTAGGGATATGAAAATGAAGAAGACACAATCTAGGCTCTCAAGATCATGACCACTGGTTGGAAATGGTAACTATAGGGCAGTTATAATCCAAGGTGATGTGCAACTTACTCAGGGAATGAATACGGTGCTGGGGGCGGGGGATACCCCACAGAGCCTGGCAGTATCAAGTCAGTCATCCCAAAGGGGGTCTCCTACCCTGAGTCTCCAGAATAAGGAGTAACCAAGGCACACCAAGGGAAAGGGGGCATGCTAGACATCTAGCATGGCATGCACGAAGACACCAAAGAGCATGGGCTTTTGGGAAACAGCAAGTAGTTGGTCTGGCTGAGGGGAAGAAGGGAGCACCCAGGGCAGTGGGGATGAAAGAGGGAGGAGGACATAGGGCAGCTCACAAAGGTCCCAGATCCGAGCTGAGCAATCTGGACTGAATCCTACAGATCAGTGTTTCCCAAAATGTGTGCTTCATAAACGTGAGTTCTCTGGGGAGCTAGTGAGTGCTTAAACACGTCAAAGAGGCTCCTTTCCTGCAGCCATCCCAAAGCCTCTCAATGCCACTGTGCATTGTAAATCTGGAAGCATGCAGTGTTCCCCAGTCTCCCTTGCCCAGGAACCCTGTTTAAGTGGAGCATTTCACAAGCCTCCAATGCACTTTGGAAAACAGCTCCATGAGCTCAACAGGAGAATTCCCCCAGCCAGAGCCAACCTTAACAGAAAGCCATGCTTCAAGAGGGAGTGGGCCACAACTGGAGTCCAGACATAGTAAGCCCCAAAGCAAGAGGTCCCCAGCTCCACCCAAGACAGAGTCTGGATCGGGGTGAAAACTAAAGCACTCTCCCCACCGAGGTGACCTCACTGTGGCCTGCCCTGGAGTAACACCTCTCAGGACCACCTTCCTGGCACACATCTTTGATCTCCCAGGAACCATGAAGCCAACGAAGAGGGCACAGGACCTTCTGCTGTCTTTTTTTTTTTTTTTTTTTTTATTTGAGACAGAGAGAATGAGAGACAGAGAGCATGAGAGGGAGGAGGGTCAGAGGGAGAAGCAGACTCCCTGCCGAGCAGGGAGCCCGATGCGGAACTCGATCCTGGGACTCCAGGATCATGACCTGAGCCGAAGGCAGTCGCTTAACCAACTGAGCCACCCAGGCGCCCCGACCTTCTGCTGTCTTAACAGATACCCCACTCTGGTAAATTAGTAACTTGGCATCTAGTCTACTTACCACCTCTCATTTACTCGGTTAACCAAGGCAGGCCCCCTGAGCCCACTGACCTGTGAGACCCTCCAAGAGGAGTTTCTGACTCCCCCAGGCTAAGGGCCGTCTTCTGATACGTAGCAACCTCACAACAGAGCTGCCCATGGGTTGTCCGTCTTAATGGGAGCTCTGTAAGCAGAGCCTATGTTTCCCTCAAACCACAGCTCTGGCTCCCAGCTAGAGGAGGGAGCAAAGCAGAATGCCCTGGGGAACAGCTTGGCAAAGCAGACAGGTTCCTTCCTGATTTCCTTTAAGAAATATCAGTCTCCAATAAAGAGCAGCTCAGCTCAGACTGTGGTTTGAGGAATCGATGCTGCCCATTAGATACAATGTGGAGGACATACAGTGATTTCTAAGTCCTCCAGCATCATATCTTTTCCATTCAAATGGAATTCAGTGCATACTATGGATGCTCACCGAGTAGGGGCAACCCCAACCCAGTATCAAAGAGAAGTCATTTGAATTAAGCATCAATTTACATTTCTTAATGCCTAATTGCTACCCAGGCCACGCAGCCTCACAACCACAAGCCACACACATCCTTCCAGTGTCTGGAGAATTGAGGCTGGCTATATATTCAAACCCCACCTGAGGCAGAGCCCTCAGGCAGCCTGGACAGAACATCTCCACAAGCCTCCCTTTCCTGCCTGAGTTTAATATTATTCAACAAGTGTTTCCTAGGCAGGTCTTGTGTGTCCCATCCCCCCCCCCCAAACCCTTGGCCAGAGAGAAGGAAGCAGACATGGCCCCAGCCTTTGGGCAGCCCCAAGACCCACCCCTCAGGGGACAAGTGAGGAGCGCAGCTCGGGGCCATGGGAGCCCACTGCTGCAGGAAAGGCCCAGAGCACCACAGGTCAGAGTCAAAGGAGCACCTTCTGGAAGAAAGCCCTCCTCCCTGCCCCAGACACTCAGCAGGCAGGCTGGAGGATGATCCCAGCAACAGATGCTGCGCTAGACCCTCCCCTGGCCCCAGACATTCCGGATTCACACATGAGTTTCCTCTGAGAAGTGCCAGCCGGTGGCCACGCACAGACTCCGGCCGCCAGCCGCCCCAGGGTCAGTGCCAGCAGAGAAATTGCTTTGGTTTAGGGTTTGGGAGTGAAAATAAACACTCTGGGTTTTATAGGTTCACCCATGTTGGCAGCTGGTCAATCAGGCCTTTCATTCAGAAGCCAGCGGCCTCTGAGGAAGCCCTGGGCAGTGCCCTCAAAGCTCAAGGGATGTTTATCTGGGGGAGGGGGTGGGGCTGGGATGGAAAGTGTGACATCTCCCGCAGGCCAGCACCAGGCTGACCCTGCCTGTGGTCCCCGGGGGTGCGTGCCGCCTCCCAGCACGGGTTCCTTGGGACAAGGGGCTCCCTCCCTGCAGCGTCCTCAGCCAGCCCAGCCCAAGGAGGACAAAGGCCCCCCACTCCTCGCCACGTGCCCACACAAGCCCGCCGCCTGCACCCCTACCTCTCACACCCCACCAAGGAAGAAGCAAGGCTGTGGATGATGAGTCCACCTCTTGTCTCTCGGCATACATTCCAATGGTCAGCAAGCATTCTGACAGGTTCCCAGCAAGGGCCAGGTGCACATATCCACCCCTGGTCCACCAGTCCCTGCATGTGGGTTTTGCATATGCTTTTCAGAGGGTGCGTCAGGACCCGGGACCCAAAGCACAGAAGAGAAATTGCTCCATCTACCATGTGCCTGGCTGCCCAGGGCTGGAAAACAGGTCACTGAGAGGAGAGAGTGCGGGGGAAACACAGCTGCTGGGCGTGAGGCATGAGGGTGGTCCCCCACGTTGGGGAGGAGCAGGGCCCAGAGGAGGACAGGCAGGTGGCTATGAGCTACAGTGCCATCCTAGGAACAGAAGGTCACTGTCACAGAAGAATTCACTTCTACTCAAGTAAGTAGAAAGCACTTGGAGAGTGGTATGTCACTTGTCAGCTACTGGACCTCAAGCAATTTAGTTAAGCTATCTGCGTCTCTGTCTCCTCACCTGTAAAATGGGGACGTGAAACTCCTACCTCACAGGAGAGATATGAGGGTCACATGCACCAAGGCCAGTAAAATGCCCGGGCTCACAGTGAGAACTCAGTCAGTGTTCGTTCTTTAGACCAAGTGCAGGTTCAAGGACAAGACAAAGCCCCTTCCTGGAGGAGCTCACAGTCATAGTGGGAAAGACAGACAGCAATTGATCTGCGCAGGGGTCAGGGCTCTGAGAGAGGTGTTGGTGGGGCGCCGGCCAAGTGTCAAGGAAGGACCAACCATCTGGGCTTGGGGTGGAGTCAGAGCATCTGGGCTGGGTCTTAAAGAATGAGTAGGAGTTTGCTGGGTTAAAAGTAGGGAGGGAATGCATTCTAGGCAGAGAAAACACTGAGCACAAAGGCCAGGAAGAGCTCCACAAACATTGACAAAAGTTGGTGAGGCCAGAACTAATCGTTAGAGGTGAACTAGGGAAAGATGCACCTGGCAAGGTCCACGGGGGTCCGATCCACAAAGGAGCCGTCTGCCAGGCTGAGAGCTGGGGATTTCTCTCCCAGGGTCTACTTTGGAAATCAGAGTAGTGACATGACCAGATGTCTCTGAGGCAGTACGGAAGGTGAGGGGGGCCAGGACATGAGAAGGGGTGAGGCCAGTTCTCGGGAACATCTCCAAGAGAGATTCAGAAGCCAGAATCCACAGGACTGGATGACTGATGGTTTCCAAACTGAGAGACAATAGACATGTGCTAATGAGACGCCAGGACCAAGGTAGGCAAGGAGGGGAGGGCTGGATCGGGGGAGGGAGGCACAAGGAGTTCCGTTTGGACGGGAGAACTGAGGAGCCAGTGAGGCATCCAGGGGGAGATGCCTAAGACGTGGCTGGACTCAAGGGGCTCCCATGAACTAAAGGCCTGGAAGCTTCTCTGATATGGGTGGTCCATGGAGCCAGGGAAGGTGAGGGCACCCCAGTGCCTGGAGAAGGGGACACAGACAGACCGTCAGGACCATCAGACTTAGAGGGCTGGGGACCCCTGAGTTGGAGCAGGTAGAGCTGCAGCAGGAGGCTGCAGGAGACCCCAGAGAGAGAAGCATCCTGGGGGTCAAGGCCAGAGGGGCTTTCAGGAGATGATGGTCAACAAAGCCAGACCCTGCAGAAGGGTCAAGCAGGCCACCTGAGAACCAGAAAGCACAGTGACCCTGGCAACGCCAGCCACTTCCACAAATCCCACAAACACAGCCACAGCTCCCACGCACAGGAGAAGCCTGGGCCACGTTCTCGAAGGCCTGTTGGCTCAGCAACGAGCTCTCAATCCCTGGTCCCTGGATCCCCTCCCACCTACCAGAAAAAGAGTCCTTGTCCATCGAGGGCAGGTCCCGAGCCTGGTACATATAGCAGCGTAGGTGGTAACGGTTCCCATCTGCACCAAGGAAGAAACAGAGATGCCAAGTGAGGGGCTCGGGGTGGCTAAGAGCTGTGGCTGGGCCAAGGGGAGAATCTACCCTAGGGAGGGCAATAGATGAAGGGTCTGAGCCATAGAAAAGGCACATGTCACACTTTGCGGGAGTGAGCCGCTCACAGGATCAGAACAGACCGCAGCTCAAAGGTAGACACCTGAGTGTCGTGTCCTTGGGCCTGGTGAGAGCTGGGGAGAAGGGGATGGAGGAGAAGCCAAATAAATGATGGGGGCAGCCAGAATGCACAGGGCCTTGAACGCCTGATCAGAAGCAAAGAGTTGATGCACACACCTCACGTAGATGGATGTGCGCATGTGCACACAAATGCACGTGCACATATACATACCCCCACAAAAGACGCTGACCCACCACAAAGCACGTAGACTCAATTCTCCCTAGTCCCCCATAGACACCTGACCATATAACCCCATACAAACAAGCATAAGGTTATACACCCGTCCACATCACCCTTATAGACACCTCCAAGCGTCACTTACAATCAAAGATGCAGGAAATCGTGGGTCTGTTCACGCCAAAGTTCAAGGTGGACACGGACATGGAATCTTCACTCCTGTCATCTACCACGCCGCCCTAGAGACACAGAGCTGGTCATGACCAATCCTGACCTCAGAGCCGGGGGGTGGGGGGCGCCAGGGAGACGGGCGCAGAGAGTTAGGTGCCCGGGTCAGGAGACCTCTAGACAACACTCCTCGGCTGCTGAAAGCTGGGCCATCAGCCTCTCATTTTACTCTAGTGTGGCCCATCCCCCTACAGCATCCCCACACTCCACTGTCAAGTCCACAGGGAAATTGTTCTCCCTCTCTCGTGGAGACCAGACACACCAGAATGGAATTCTGAGTGATTCTGGTCCAAGAGGTTAGAGCCTGATAGAAGGAAGGACTCTAGGGGAGAGAATCCAATGCGGATTTTCCTGCTGGGATGAGTTAAGAGAAGCCAAATCTGGAGGCCCCAGGCCACCATCTCTGTCCAGGCCCTGCGTATCTGGACACTGGGTCCTAGCTCTGGGAAAAGCTACACTGTATCATCACCACCTCTCATCAGCCCCCACTGAGCTGAGGGTGGAAGAGGGTGCAGGCTGTGGCCAGGACAGGGACAGAAGCAAGAGGCAAGGCAGGTGTGCCCTCAGGCTCAGAAGCCCGTCTGTCAGTGTACTGCCCATCAAACTAGCCAGTAAGTCCCCTCACTTTGTCTTCATTCGCACTGGGTTCTAACCGCTGGGCCATACTCCAGCTTCCTTGGGCCAGATGCCTACCTCCCAGGTGTATCCAGCGCCACCTCTGCCCCTCATTGGCGTCCTGCATGGTTTGGGGAGGCTCAGGGACCCAGCAGGGATCAAGGCCCCCACAAGAACAGGAAATGTGCTGGTTACTTCACAGCCCAGCCTCCAGACTTGGCTTTCTTGGCAAGCCCACCAACATGCTATGGCCCAGAGCCCAGCAGAGGGACTGGGAGAGGTGGGCAGTGTTCCCATCCTGTCCATTCCCTCTGCAGCCAGTCTGAGAGATTTCTCCAGGTCCCTAGCCTCTCTCTCCCCGACTGTCACCTGCCCCACCCCCTTGCCCAGTTCCTGTTCCCAACACACAAGCACACACACCCTTGTATGTGAATGGAAACTCTGGCCTCACCACCAATGGCCTGTTCATCTGGCCCGGGCCCACCCAGGGTGGTCACTTGCCAGGACTTTCCACCCTGCCACCTGGCCACAACCATCTCCCAGGAATCTCAACCTCTCCTACAGGCCTAGTGCCTCCAAATAGAAGACGCATGGCCACTTCCGCATCCTCCTCTCCAAGCCACGCCCACCCTCAGGGCCCAGTCCCAGACCCCTGGTCAGAGAAGCCTCCCTGGGTGCCTGCCTTCCCACTGTTGATCTGCCCACACCCAGAGCCAGAACCAGCATCACTACCCAGAGCCCAAATCCTTTGCTGGCCCTCAATACCTGAGGGGTCCTGATCAGACCTCAGGTGACCTGCGCCATTTTCCCATTCAACACCAGGGCTTCCCTCCCACAAACCCAGCCCTCAGTTTTAGGCAGGCCATGCTCCTCGAAGCTGGCCAAGACTCACACCTGCTCCATCACAAGCTCTTGCTGTTCCCTAGTCAGAAGTGCCATTGATCATCCCAATCCCCCCCATCTTCAGGGTATCTTAGGACACCCAGGGAAAGCCTGCCCTGGTCACTCTGGGTTAACATAGAAATGCATCCTAAAGGTGGGCCAGGTCTTCCTCTGCTCCATTCCTGCAAAAGGGCTCATAAAACACGCATGCAGGAAAGATGTGTTTATCTGCTCTTCCAGCAGTCTCACCAAGGTCCAGCTTCAACCAGGTAGTCTCTGGCTCCCACCACAAGACACCCCCACAAGGACCCCCTTCCTCTGACAACAACTTCAACACAAGCTCTAGAACCAGATTGCTGGGGCTCCAATTCTGGTCCTGCCATTTATTGGCTGTGTGACTTTGGGCAGCTTGCTTAACCTCTCTGAACCAGTCTCTGTAAATTTGGAATAATTCTACAGTATCTATCTCAGAGAGTTGCTATGATTGTTAAGGAGATACATTACATGTTGTTCTTAGCACACCCCCTGGCACATAATAAATGCTCAATAAATGTTTGCTAGTAATGATCTTAATGAGAGAAATAAGGCACAGGTGGGGCAGGGGCAGGGTAGGTCATAAACTATAAAGCTTGCAATTATTCTCAGGGGTAGTATTCATATACCTCATATTTGTTCAAAATTATTCCAGAAGCTGGAAAAGTGGACATTTCAGGAGCCACAGCCCTGGGCAGAAATCAAAAGCAATCAATCAAGCAATCAGTCTCTCAAAACACACACACACACACACACACACGGGAAAGCAGGATAAGAGGGGTGCCATACTATAGACAGGGAAAGACCCAAAAGCCACCACACCTGAGCTGTCTCCTGAGCAGGTGTGGACCCTGGGCATCCTGGGTTCCCCCCAGAAAAGGCATTTGGCCCGGCCATGCTACACTGGCATCCCGCCAGAACATGCACCACGTCCAGCAGCTCACGGCTCCCAGTTTCAGGATCTGCAAGGCCGCACATAGGGCTGGACCTGGGGGGCCCAGCAGGCCACCCCAGGCGTGAGGTGTAGGACGCCAAGGAAAGCAGATCAGAACACTGGAAACAGGGCTTGGTCAGCCCTCTGTGCAACAACCCGTAGCACGTGCAGCCCAGGGCACCTTGGTTGGGGGGGAGGGGGTCCAGCCGGAGGCAGGGCGGAAGGCCTAGGACCCTGTGGCCCCTCCACCTCAGCTGACAACACACTCATGCCCCCATGAGTCGGGCGCTAAGGTGAGCGAAGGGAAGGAAGCTGCGCCCCATAATGCCTTTGCCCCCTCCCAGTACCTGCAGGGACCTCCGTGCTCGCTGCTGGCTGCCAGTGCACATTCCCACTCACCTCGCACCTCCTCCAGATGGCCTCCCCTAGCCGCCTCCCAGAAGCACCACTCCCACCAAAACGCCTCTGTCTGGGGCTTTGGCAGCAATTTCTGGGTCTCTGTCCAAGGGCAGTCTGCCCTCCTGTGATCAGAAAAGGTGTCCCCCTCCCTGGGATTTCCACGAAGGCAGGCGCCAGGTATCTCAGGCCTAGCTCAGTGCTTGGCCCACAGCAGGCCCTGGCCCTGAGAAATAATGTCCTTCCGAGGGAGGAACCAGTGTCCCCTTGGGGAAGGCCCCTCACACTGCCTGGGCTTTTCCACCTGTCCTGCCTCCAGAATGGGGGATCCACAGGGCTCTCCGCACCCCACAGCCCCCAACCTGCCCCCCAAGTATGGACCTGCCTCCTCCTTCCCTTCCCCCAGCTCAAAATGACAGATGGGGCTTACTGAGAAGAAGCTGGGAGAACCAGGAGCCCTGCTGAGGACACCCACTAAGTTCAGTCCCTCCCAGTGGAGCCCTGGCCCTGTAACCGCCCTGGTTCCCAGCCTGGGCAGAATTCTACCCACACCATTGGCCGATGTCTTCCTATCCTCCAGCCCACTGACCTTCGCAGGGGAGGCTGGGCTCTGCATGCTTCCTCTTCAGACCCTGGGAGCAGACGGGGAGGTCAGCTCTCCCTCCCAGCCCAGCTGTGGCCTCTGAATTGAGTCTCCAGCAGTCTGGACGCCCCCAAACACCCCCATCCCTGATGACTTTCATGCTCAACCCAGCTGAAACCCTCTGGGGACCCCTTTCTTGCCCCCCAGGCGTCTTGCACGTTGGTCTCTCTGCCCCTTTCTTTCCCTTCTTTTTCCTAGGTGTCTAGCCTCTTCCTCAAGATCTCTGTGCAAGGATGAGTAAGCCCCCCACCCAGGTGCTTCCACGGTGCCCTGAATCTCCTCTTACCACATCTAGCACCCACCCCCACCATTGACCCGTCTGTGCCCTCCCACTGAGAGCTCTGGGAGGTTTCTGTCATACGCCCAGCTCTGCCCACACACAGCAGGTGCTCAGTACACACCTGGAGAGCGGTGAACGAAAGAAGGTCACCTCAGGAGAGAGCAACAGTGTGAGCTAGGGGCATAGCTAGTGAAGAAGGCCAGCCTGTCACCCAGGTCCGGGGATCAGTCTGTACAATAACAGATAATCCCATGTCACACTTCCTTCACTCTGAGGTACATTTTGGTTTTCAAGTGTAGACATGCAAGGGTCACACTCTGGAACTTCTCTCAAAGCAAACAATGAAGCCCCATGAAAATCTGGTTTGGAAGCTTCTGGAAGGTCCCTGCTTCCTGTCAGTCCTTCCCTCTGTCTTGTGCATTGTTGGGTATTTAGCAGCATCCCTGGTCTTGACCCATTAGATCCCCATAGCTTCCTGACCCTTTAATTGTGACCACCAAAAATATCTTTAGACATTGTCAAATGTCCCCTGAGGGACGGGGTGGGGGATAGAAATTGCCCCCAGTGGAAACCCACTGGTGAAAACTGAATGCAGTTTTCACCCACTGGTGAAAACTGAATGGCAGGTTCCTATAGCACGTAAGCAGCACTCAGTAAGCGGTGCTGGTGGTGTCAGTTTCAATCTTTCAACTCTCCATTCTCGTGCTACAGCAACACCTTCCCCCTTTCATCTCTTTTTTCTTTAGATCTGGAACCCATCCTCTTCTTTCTGCCTCAGGGTCTTTGCACAGGCTGTTCTCGCCACCTTGAATGCCCTCCCAGGTGAGCTAACTTGAGCTCTTCCCTCAGTCACCACTGAGGCCTGGATACTGCTGTGGCAGCCATGCCTTCAGCAGCAGCCCCTGCTCAGCCTCTCCTAGCTCTCTCCTGCATCCATCTCTCCGTGTGTGTGGGCAAGGCACACATGCTCCTCTCTCCCCTGCGCCTAGCCCAGCATCAGGCACTTAGTAGTCATCCAATGAAGATTTGTCACAGAAAATGAATCACCAGCATTCCCTGCCCTCAGCCACGTGGGCAGCGTTCGGGCCTCGAGTCTCAGGGGAAGGGTCAGGAAAATGCACATCAAACAAGCACCCTCCTTCCCTCAGGGGGCTCAGAGTAAGATGTTACTACAGAAAGAGCAAGGGATATGGTTTCAGCACCCTGCCCCCCGCCCCCGTGGGGCCAT